ATATACAACATGTAACAAAAACCCTGTGGTTCCCGTTAACTGCGTTATCAGAATCAGTATCCAAGCATATAGAAATAATTTTTTTCGAAAAAAAAAAACACTTTAAAAAATAAACTTTAATGAAAAAAAAATAATTTGCAAATTGTATGTGGTTTTATTATCTCTGCATTGGCCGTGGAGTAAGAGGATTGTCAAAGACCCCGCATTACCGATACTCGTGTGATTTAGAGGAAATAAAACCACATACAATTTGCAAATTAATATTTTTATCATTAATTTTTTTAAGCGTTAATATTTTTATCATTAATTTTTTTAATATATATAATATATACATGTAACAACCAACCCGCTGATCCTTTTAGGCACGTATAAATGTACACATAGGCATGGCATTTATGTCGGTGACAGTTATTACAGACATTTTAGTGTACACAATAGGTAACTTAAAAAATTCGATTTCGTGAAAAAATGTTATTCATATCTGAACTAACAGACCCGCGTCTCGTGGAGCGAGGTTTTTGATTCCCCGATCTCTGCAGAGGTAATAAACCCACATACAATTTACAAATAAAATATATTACAGTTAAATTTGATTTTTTAAGGTCTAGTTTTAAAAAAAAAGTTTTTTCTATATATTTGAATACTGAGTTTAATAACGCTCTTATCGGAAACTACAGGCTTTTTGTTACATGTTGTATGTATATATTATATACATAAATAACTTTATTTTATTCAACGAACTAGTGGCCAATACAAATTGTCAAATTTGACCCCAGTTAACAAATTACGATATATATAACCGAATTTGTCTCCATTAACCCCACGATAAGCCCATTTTTTACTATTCAAGTCTTTTACTTATCGGTCGAGTGCCAAGCTAACTTAATTAGAAGGTTGAAATGGAACACAACTATAATATTATATTTTACACAAAACGAGAAAGTTAAGGCACGTTCCCCGACGTGCGGACAAAAACGTACATTTCCGGACGTCAGTAAACGAGCCCATATTCTAAAATAGTTTGTACAACGATAGACATATATTGATCCAAGGGGGCAGCCACATAGATATTTTTAATAAAACGTTTAAATTTTAAAACACGTATTGCAACTTAAGACATGTTATCATTATTTTGTTTCCGAATACAACCGTGCTGTAATAACTAACCAAACTCCCTCCGGCCGCACTCGAGGACATATATATAATATATATTATGCACTTAAAATTTACATCTGAACTAGTAACAAGGTAGCTCTGAAGGTAAGCCGGTGACGGATCCCCTCATTGTGGGGGCCCTTGTACCAGTGAAGAAAGGGTCAGGTGAGGAATTATGGCAGGAGAGAGGAAAAGGTGTGGATTAGGTATCATTCGAGACAACTTCATGTTTAAAGGCGTGTACAACTTTCTTTAGAGTAATGCAATGGATACAATAATACGCTTTATAATAAGTGATAATTACATTTAGATTAATATTTATATCCTCAATATTTAAATACCTTAATAAACGTTCTTACTCAACAAACATGTCACAAATAACTTGAAACTGGACATTGACATTTATAGAGCACTAAAACGACGTAGGAGTTTTTGGCGAAGACTTGACCGTTGTATTGTTTAAATAATAGTTTGAAGTGGATTTTGAGTTTGTGTATTAAATGTTTGCGCTTGTAAGCTGTTAATGGTAACCGTGACCTCAAGATAACGTGATTACTTAGGCACCTTGAGATACTATCGCCATCGACTGTCTGCTGGATCAAGCTCCCGTCAAAATCTCCCAAAAATTTCGCAATGTGACGTATCAACATATTGTGAAGAAGTTTTTATATAAAAAATTTCTTGTTACGTGCACTGCCAAAAGTACAACGGTACGAGTACATTACCGAAGAAAAAAGAAGTTGAAACTAACAAGTGGCAATAATAATAATTAATAATAATAATTTGAAGAGTACCTTCCGCGCTCTTCAAACAAGGTAAGACACATAATTTTATTTTATTACGTGGATAAAGTTAATTAATTTTTAACATCTCTAATATAAAGGATTTCCGCAAAGTAACACCCGATTCTATTAATTGCAGCAGGGACGTCGGTTAGTACTATCAGCCAATCTAACAGGATATAGAACAGGAGGGAAAGGAGTTCACTAGAGCGCACTCACACGTCTCCGGAACCGACCCGCAAGCTACCGACACACGCGCACGCACTATCGTATAAAATTCGGATAAGGCATAGTATTAGGTTTAATTTTTAATGTGTGTATACATACGACTGAACTCCACATCTTGTGAACAGGGCCGATCAATTCAAATAGCCTATTGAACTTTGTATACTATTGCTTATTATTATATTAAAATTTAAAAAACAGTAATATTGCAGCTAAGAAAACAAGAGCACAGCCCTTTTCACAAGAGATATAATTTTTGGAGATAATATGGATGCTTACTGCAACCTTGCAATGTTACGGAGGATATCCGAAGGCATCTATAAAAAAAACATTAATTATTTTGAACAAGAAGATACACGAAGAACACGAAGATTTAAATACATATTATGTTTTATGATGTATTTATTTTGACTTATAAAAATTAATTGATGTATTTACTGTTAAGAGTAGCTCATACGTGAAATAAATGAAATATTAACATTTTGTTTTCCGCGCGTCGTATCATCCCGTGTCGTAGCTGACGACAGACTCAAACGCAACAGGAGAACGCACTAACAACGTAAAATAATCTTCCTGACAACAACTTAAAATAATAATAAACTGCGACTGCCAACCCGTGGCAACTGTGGCAAATATCTCTCAATCTATGGAGGAGGCTTATTTACAGCACTGGACTCTTGATAGGCTGTGATGGACGGGTCATTTTATATATCGCTGTCTGACATTATATAATTTGCAATTAAATTATGACACAAAATAAACTATTTGCAATTTAACGCAGATTATTATTTATATGAAATATTACGTACAGTTTAAATAAAAAATCTATTTCATTAAAATTAATAGTTTGGTATTCAATATAATCCTGTTTTTGATTCTGGATGGGTCTTTTATACAAAAGTAACAAACAAGACTTATTTTCACCCCTGATCACTGGAATGCCTCGTTACAAGGTAAAATGATTGTTATTATCAGGTAGGTTTCGTATATTGCGTGAAGATAAAAAAATTGAGGTCTTATATCGTTCGGATATCCTCCGCGTATCAACACAAAAAGATAGACTATATAAACAACTCGATACAAACAAAACAACAATGGCCAGTGAGCTACGGTTACTATTTAGATGGACTTGAACTCCGACACCTAATCAAATAAAATACTAAATAACAATACCGATTAAAATTATCGCAACAAAACAATAAAAATACATTCGATTTGTCTATGAATAAAGTTTCTATTTTGTATTCATTACAGTGTAAAGTAAATATGCATGTCTTAAACGTTAATTAGGTTTAGTAAATTAAGAAATTGCGAATAGTTGCTCGGGGACGCGTTCTTTCTACTACATAACCTTTTTGGTTTGTCCTAAAATTTCCCGTTTTAAGTACACTAGTCATTATTTAAACACTTTTAAATGTATAATTTCTTAAACTATTTCTCATTCTTCACTGGTGATGATGTCGTTGGCAGATTGTATGCTTCATCATTACACAAATAAGCAAAATGACATGTCGTCGTTTGATTGTAGAAATGGACAGACGAGATGTGCCTGGGCATTTCATATATAACTATTATAATATACCGTTACCTACTGTCGCTAATATTAGTAAAGCTGTGCTTTTGTATTTATAATATTATACTAACAGAAGTCAAAGTTATAAATTATCCGTCAAACGTGAAATACAGGCGTATCATGAAATGTGCAGATTACGACCTGCCCAACGGTAACGATCGGATTACGACATAGATTTTTACAATTTGCCAGCAAGCATTTGCAAATGGACAACACAATTTATATAATCACGAATCATACAATCTGCCGACGACAGTGACATAATAGTCGCCATTGCGTTTTATTTCCCGTGCATTTCCCGCGCAAATTAACAGAATATGCTATGTTTTCTATTTCCCTTCTCAAAATATAATATACCTAAACACGAACATAGTAATCGGACAATATTTGTACAAAACACGAGATATGACACAAAAATGTAAACATTACGGCAAGCCTGCAACGTTCACTGGATAACACAACGACTTAATTAGTTTGCGCTGTTTGCAATTGTGACGCAGACAGAGACAAAAAGATTTAGTTCCTAGAGAACGGCGTGAAAATTTACGTCACGCGTTATGTGAACATGGAGATAATTTTATGTATATTATAAGTCGTTCCAACACAACATTAGTGCAAGGTCACTTTTTGTATATAATTACACAGAAAAGCCGTTGTAATTGAATAAAAAAAAGTTAGTTTTTTAGTATTTTCCACTCCTTAAATTAAGAGATAAATCACACAAGTAGTGAATCGAGTTGTTAGACAAAAAGTTTTACACGATTGAAAGCAAAATTTAATTCATACAGTTTAGAGTTCGATATATAACATTAATACAATTTGGAACAAAATCAAAGTGGCCTGGCTTTTTTTTTCAATTGAAAACTACTTTAGAATAGTTGTGATTTGAATTTCGATGAAACGGAAAATCTATACTAAAAACAAAAACAAAAATATACATCTATAGGATTTAGCCTGCGAGATAATGAGATAGAATACAGCATACAGTTTTTCCTGTTATCTCGGTCTCCTTTTCTGAAGGTTTCACTTGTACCGCGCGTGACACATGTATTTTTCTCAAACAATTATTAAATTCACTATAATCCCAACAGAACTACATAGGAAATATTCACTGTATATTATGTTGCAACCAAAATGTAATGTCCCTGTGTGCACAATAAGTCAAGCGACCACTTGTGACCACCGTGACCACCAGCAACAAGTTCCGCAAAGTCTCGCCTATCGTCCCCGAGCTGCTCGCGCCATTGAATGCCTAACTAGACGACCTAGACATCGACCACCATCTTCTTGTGGATGTCAGTGTTGCCCACCACATTACAGAACTCTTCGAACGAGATCCTGCCGTCCTCGTCCTTGTCCGCGAACAAGATCGTCTTGTCCACGATCTGCTGCAGCTGGGTGTCTTTGAGATTGTTACCGACCATCATCTTCAGCACCTGAAGTCATTGTAGTGGAAGAATGTCGTGATGATTTGTATATACGAAAACCTTTATATATTATATACAATAGAACATACTTAAGTAATTAAAAAGCAATTAGACCACCAGATGGTAAGCGCTCATTGCACTGTGGACACTGGGCAGACAATCAAGAACGAGATATTTTTTTATAAAATAAGGGTTCCACCTGATGGTAAGTGGATGCTGTGGCTCGTAGCCATCCACATCTATCATCGATTAAAAATCAAAAGAAGATGCATTGTCACCCATGAGGACTTAGATGGAACGCCTCATTTCCAGTAAAAAGGGTCTTCGGTTCTCTGCACTCACCATACGAAGAGTAGCATTGAGCTGCTATTTTACGCCGCTATTCTGAGAAAGCGTGGTCCTGATGGTGGCCCCAGGTCGAACCAACTTACTCGTGCTGCAGCCATAATATAGATGCAACATAGCTCTAACACACTTCGACAAGTACAGTAGCAAGTTTAGACACAGGTCAGTTGACAGTAAACGGTTAAGCGAACAGTAGCGTTCCAATGTCTTCGTGGCGAGTTTAGTTAAAAAAAATACAATTTTATATTTTGAGGGTCGAACGCGAACACGACGCGCGGGAAGGCAACACTCGAACTTATCTCGCCGAAAATGGACCAACCGGCTCTCCCGTTCAACTTCATTGTTAACCTGCTACTAACTCACTAATTGCCGTGCCGTTCAAACGAGATATTCTACTTAACTCGCTAGGTTCGCAACTCGCAACTGTACTTGTCGTAGTGTGTGTCGACATGCGTTGTCACTCAAAAGACTACTATAATACTATATAATATTCAGTTCTCTAATCCTTCAAGTCAAAACACAATATTGAGTGCACTGCTACTTGGGGACGGAACTAGACTAATGGAGATGATGAGAGCAACACACGACACAGAGTACACGATTGCATGGCACAGATACTAGGAAGCTTAAAAAAAATTAAGGACTTTTTTGCGCCCGAAGCAAATATGGGCAACCCTCCGGAAAGCGGGGGAGGAAGGCGGTGAATACTCATATCATACCACGCAGCCGGTTGCGTGGTTATGTGGAGACTTTTGCCCACTAAACCCCACCTTTTAGGGACTGGCTTAACGGTCTAACTAGAGATCTCTAAGCCGTATACGGACGCGACCCTCCTTGGCAGAAAGGAGGGCGCAAATTAAGGACGTTCGTAACGAATGGGTAGGGGGCTTTTTTAGCCGACACCCGCAGAAAGGGAGTAATGTTTTTCGACAGTAGGTATGTATGCATGCATGTATGTATGACGCTCTGCAGCCTAAATGGCTCGATGGATTTTAACATATGGGGTGATGTTAGATTGTTCTTGGTTGTGGAAGTGACATAGGCTATAAATTTTTTCTTTCCAGTTAACTTTATTACAGAGTCGGGTTTTTTTTTAATTACTGTTTCAACCTCTAAGCTTGTTAGTCCTAGAAAAAAACTCGCACCAGCACAACGACTATTGAGGTGGATAATTTATAAAAGGAGATACTAATAAATAAGTAGGCGGTTATAACCGACTGAAGGATCATCGCGTAAAGGACTGTTCACCGCCCGCACCGAATCACAAATGAATGCACAATTGAACATTGGGGTCACAACTCATGTCGCTAATTGTTTTATTTAGAGAATAAGGGGAACAAACGAGCACACAGTTCATTTCTGACGGTAGTGCATGCTGTGGCCCACGGACACCTACATTTATCTATCTTTCATTAAGAATCAAAACTCAGATGCGCTGTCTGACCCCTGAGGAATAAGATGGAAAATACCTCATTGCTAGTAAAAATGGTTTCCGATTCTCCAAACTCACCATACGAAACACAGCAACATTAAGCTGCTATTTCAAGCGTGTATTATGTGAGAGCAAAGTCTTTCCCCGGTGGAGCCTACCCATTCGTGCTACTACCATAACACAGTTGCAGCGTGGCTCTACCGCGTACAAAGCAGTTGTTTAGAGAAACACTTTGTGTCTCCTGCAAGGCTCCGAGATACCTTGAATGAAAGAGATGACTAACCTGAAACAGCTCTCCATTGGAGATGTAGCCGTCGTTGTCCATATCGTAGATTCGGAACGCGAAGCGTAGCTTGGACAGCTTGTCTCCCTTCACGCTGAACTGTGACACGCCCTGGATGAACTCCTTGAAATCCACCTGTAAAGCAGCGTCAGTCCGTTCAATTTATTTAAGAATGACTGCAAGTATCGCACCAAAAGATTACGAGTATAATACTATACATAAGTACCATAAGTCAGTACTTGTCATGACATATTAGGATCGGGCTTTTGTCCGGATTGTGGTCGGCTTTTGGAAATCAGTCCTTCTAGTAAGACTTTTTAGATTTTTTTTAATAAAATTTTTGCGTGGGAGGGGCGTAATCTTACAGTACGTGATATACATTAAGAACGTACAAAACCAATAATTAATTGTTCTTATTTACACGCCTGTTAATTGTTTTCAACATAATCTCAGGATTTTTTATCAGGTTATTATAGAGATAAAGATATACCGGTTGTCAGTATCACACCATGTTTAGCCATTTAGTGGCGTACAAATTGTATGGTTCGTTACATTACGCAAATAGAAATTAATTAAAATATACATCATCACTGGTCACAAATTTGCTAAATAGTAAATTATTAATCAGTATCAAATTCAATATTCACTATTTATAATGTTAACATTAGAATATTACAAGGCACTTTAATTATTAACTATATTATACACACATCTGATATTATATTAATATGTACATATTATGTATTATAAATATTAACTATTTTAATTATATGCATTTTTTATTATATGCGAGCAGCTATGCAGGTCTAGGTAAAGAGACCAGTATCACTGCGACCTAAAAGATCAATTGTGATCGCTGCTATGGCTTTAGTTCACTGCTAAGCCCTAGGGGAAGTCCGGGCAAAGCGAATACCTTAAGATATTTAAGGATTTATCAGAAAATTTATAAGAGATGGAAACAAAACAAATATCTCAAATCAGTCTTTATTAATTGCTTTTACCTATATAGTAATCATTTAACTTTAAAAGTAAAACAACTACTAACAAAAAGTAAAATTCAAAAAATTGAGATAGTATTCACTTTGCCCGTATCCCCGGGTAAAGTGGATATGATGCACGGGCAAAGTGAATAACTACCGTCTAATTGCACAAAACTCAAAGTTACACCTAGTTAGGGAATTTTATAGACGGACAAAATTTAAATTCGCGTTTAAAGGACAAATCTTAAAAATTAAGATTGGCAATTATCACATGTAAAATCTCCAATGCCTTCAAAAGCGGAACATTCTTCGTGACACCATCTGAAACAGGCACCACATCGAATCCAATTTTCAATTGGATGATTATTTTCTTCAATATATATTTCTTAATTTATTAATTTTCTTTGATTGTTTATTATTTTTAACAGGTTTTTTAGTAATCTTTATGGGAACTTTTTTTTATTCTACATTTAGTTTTTTACTTATATTATTAACTGCATTTTTTTTTTCAAATTTTAACTTCTGCTCTTCTTTTATAGGTGTACTAGTTAAAATTTCCGGCTTTTGCAATTTGCGTTTACGAGTTGTTATTGGTTTGTCTAGATTTGGTATTGGTCTTAACACTACGGGACTGTAGTGAAAGTTTGAACATCCAGGTTCCGGATTCGGTGGGTCATCACGGTCCACATATCTGCGTGTATTTTTTGAGGTACCTGTTAACAATGCATCACTTTTTAAAAGATGCATAACATTAATATTTGTAGCATCTGGCTCCAAAGTAGAAGAAGCTTTAAGAGACACTGTTTCTGGTTCCAGTGTAATAATGGAGCATACTTCACTGTGAATAATATTTTCTGAGGTTTTAGTAGATTCTTGGGAAACTACAATTGGTGCAACAGAGACTTGAGGTTGAGGTTTAGATAATTCACAAATTGTAGCTTTTCCTGGAGGTAGAACTATTTCTGCATGGGGACCAACTGTCGAATTGCATTCTTGTAAAAGTGAGGGTTAAGGGGTTGAAGAGGCAGCGGAATCAGGGATGTCTATTGTTTGTATCGAATCTATGCCTACTGTGCTGACATTGATACTTGATTTGCCTGCAATCACATCCGCTGGTTCAAAGTCATCATCTCCAAAAGCATATTTGTTCACTGGCCAAATTCCAGGTCGTTCAAACCCATAAACTGCATTTATGGCGACTGCACTTTTCAGATAAGCTGGTGATAACAGTCTGGCTACATCGTACTGATTCACAATGCGTCCAGGATGAGCCTTTTGGAACGTATTAATCTCTCGTTCAAAATACGTTTTCAGTGGGCCGTAGACGGCCACATCCATAGGTTGCATTTTATGGGTAGTATGCGGGACCAAGGACAAAATTATGACGCTATTCTTACTTGCATATTCCAAAGCAGGATAATATTTGTGGCTCTCATGTTTGTCCAAGAGTAGAAGTACCTTTTTGTCGGCGCTAGGTCGTACATGTTCTACGAAGAAATGCATCCAATCAAGAAATACCTCACCTGAAGTCCAACCACTTGGCGTACAAGTACCTTGAGTCCCGGGAGGCGCACCGTCAAGAAGTCTGGGTTGCATCTTCTTTCTGGCGAAAATCAGGAAGGGTGGTAGAAATGATGCAGCGGCATAACAACACCCGATAACACTCGTTAATTGACCTCGCTCCGCACTTGCAATTATGCCCACCTGTTTCTTTCCTTTTATTGATAGTACTCTAGGGGATTTGTTTGATGTCGTCGAAATACCGGTTTCGTCCATATTATAAAATCTAGATGCATCAATCTTAAATTCAAGATTATCGTAGAAACGTCTGACTTCATGTCTATTGAATCCTTTTGCTCTCGCAACCGATGTTGCCTCTGCAGTCCTGAGCATAATGTCAGTGTGACGTGATAAAAATGATTGTAGCCAATCATCTCCGGCTTTTTCATACTTGTCCCAACTTTTTGGGTAACTCAAATTATTTTTTTTGGCATAGGTATACGCTAAATTCTTAAACTCATCTCGAGTTAAACCAAAAAACACGGAATCCATGTCTTTGAGATAGGTCATTAATTCTATCTCCTCATATTCACTGAACACAGACGAAATCTGCCGAGTTTTGGAGTAACCTTGCCACTTTTGATGTGTCTGTACAAAGTTACATAAGCCAACCCATACTTTTTAGCTGTGACCTTCACCGATTCCCCGGCATGGCATAAATTTACAGTCATCTGCATGACATCTTTATCCCAAGAACCTTGATTAGTTTTTCTTTTGTATTTATGCACCATCTGCAACGAAATATGAGCTTTATAATACTGAAACTAAAAATCGTAACAGCTGGTGGATATCATATCCGCTTTGCCCTATTCACTTTGCCCAACCCGACCACGGTTAAGTTAGTTAATATAAAAACTATTGATTTCGATTCCCTGTTCGACATATTTTAAAAAGGCACTTTGATACGTAATGGAACTATACTACGCCCAAGAATGATAAACAAATAATATAGGAAATATCATCAAAACACTTACCTCGAAATATTGTAAATTATTTTTCGAAAACACAATTCGCCGTTCTGTGGACGCCACACGACACTACCTCTCGCTTAAGTATTTGCCGCTCACTGAGACAAGATGGCGGAACGATGCTATGGCCGCGTGGTTAATGCCAAACGAATAGTTTGGTAATAGTGGGGACTATTCACTTTGTCCGGGGTGTTCACTTTGCCGTGAGCAATTTCACTTCTTCTGGGCGGAGAAGATAGTGTCCCAGATGAGTGTTACGTTTGCGTATTAAGGGTTCGCAATCGGTTAGGATGTGCATACTTTTTATTGCGTTTATTTTATATTTTTTGTGATGTAACATTTACGGTAATTTTATACTATCGCGGTCACCTCGTTTTTGACTCTAGAAAATCGAAAAATCGAAAAAATAAGATCGAGCGATGCGAGCTCGGGACTTAGAGCATCCCGACTCGGACAGGTTAGGTTAGAAGGAGATGCCGGGGTCGAGTGAGCTAGTGAAGCGAGCGAATTGATCCCGACATCTCCTTCGTGGTTGTTTTTTTATAAACCACTCAGAAGAAAGGAGCCCGGGCTTTCCTCGACTGCGCTACGTTGAGTGGCGTGGTGCTTCCCTCCCCCAACTCTCTCCCCGTAGCTCAGTCGAGGGAATGGCGGTCGACTACTTCTGAGTGGTTTGTAAAAAAATAATATATATATATATATATATACGAGGGGTGATCCAAAAGTAATGATAATGAAAATAAAACACGGTAATTAAAGTTAAAATAATAATTTATTTTTCTACATAGTCTCCTAACAAATTTTATTTTTACATTTAGTCCATCTTTTTTCTAAACCCAGGATTCCCTTTGAAAAAAATTCTTTGTCTTGACCCTCCCAAAACGCTTCAACAGCGGCCATTGCTTCGCTATCGTCTTCGAATTTCTCCTCGGCCAAAAACCGAGCTAGATCCGGCGAATAGGGAGAGTTTTCGAGCAGTTCGAATCCCGTTTCTTGAATGGCAGCCATCGCAACTGCGGCTTTGTGAGCCAGTGCGTTGTCTTGGTGAAACAGCACTTCAGCTCGCAGTTTGCCGCGTCTTTTTTCCTTAATGGCCTCCCGTAATCTTCTTATTTGGTCTGCGTAGTAAGAGCCCGTAATAGTGGCTCCCTTTTCCAAATATTCCACCATAATTATGCCTTGAGCGTCCCAAAAACAGATGCCATAACCTTTCCCGCCGAACTTGAAACTTTGAATTTCTTTGGCGTCGGTGAGGAGGCTCGCTTCCAAGTCATCGATTGTTGTTTCGTTTCAGGATCAAAATGGTGAATCCAGGTCTCGTCCTTAGTCACAAAACGGAACAAAAAATTTTCTTGATCCGCTTGGAACTTTTCGAGATTTGACCCTCGAAATGTCAACTCGATTTTTCTTTTGCTCGTCGGTTAACATTCTGGGTACCCAAAGCGCAGAGACCTTTTTCATATGCAACTCGTTCGCAAGGATTCTTTGAACGCTGCCATATGAAATCCCTGTGACCTCAGCTACATGCCTGATGGTCACTCTTCGATCCGCCAACACAACATCTTCGACTTTTTTCACGTTGTCTTCAGTGAGGGACGTGGATGGGCGTCCTTCGCGATGTTCATCT